GTTTCCAGAAGTACTCTACATGGGCAGGGCAGTCTTGCTGCCTCCAGACCTCCCCACTGCCCACACTCAAGGTGATAGCCAAGCAGGACTTATTGGCTTAGAGAATTCCTCTTATGTTTCCATACCACTTCCTGTTAGAACTATAGCTCCTTACTGTTCTCTAGTGGTGTCCTGCTTGATCGATCTTCTCTGGGCTCATTTCATATGGCCTGCCTACATTCCCACTGATCTCTCTTGTATGTGTCCATTCATTCACTCCTGCCTTTGAACTTTTGCTCATTTGTTCCCTCTGCTGTGTGTGGATCCCCAGAGCAACATTAGTCTGCTCTGGCATACCACTCAGATGTGTCTAAAGTGCCACATTACCTTATTTTGTTGCCTTATTAGTATTTATCACCAGAAACAGTCTCATCCATGTGTTTAATGATAACATTTATCTCCTCCAACACAGACTTGCTCCTCTTCCCACTCCACAAATGCAAAAACTTTCTTTGTTTTGCTAACTACAGAATTGGAAAATAGGCTCGGCATATTTTCAGAGACCAACCAACTTATAAAGTAAGTGAATTAGCTGGTTAATAATAGGTTACTGAGATCAGAATTCCAAAACTGGAATTAAAAATAGTAGTCCTCATATATTATAATACATAATCCGGTAGTGTACATTCAGAGTTTATCTACACACCATCTTTATGTTGCAGTTAGCTTTAACTTGGTTGTGAATTGACTTAGAAGGGCCCAGCCCACTGTGGGCAGCCCCATTCCTAGGCAGGTGATCCTGGACTATCTAAGAAAGCAAACTGAGGGCGACCCTGTCAGTGAGCCAGCAAGCAATGTTCTTCCGTGGTTTCTGCTTCAAGTTCCTGCCCTGACTTCCCTCGGTGATGAACTGTGACTTGGAAGTGCAGGCCGAAATCAACCCTTTTTTCTCCTAAGTTTGTTCATCATAGTATCTTGTCACATGGATAAATACAACGGAACAGGAAGCGGCTAGAACACCTTGCCCGCGTAGCTTGGACTTTCGATGTCTTCGCACACTTGTGTCAGTTAGAAAGCCCCTCCATTCTCTCTGGGAGTTAGAGAACAGAGCCTGCTCTGTGTGAGGGGAAATTCCTTGACTTTGGAGACTTGTCACTGTTTCTTCTCTGTGCCTCCCCCAGCCACTCAAAACATCTCTCTTCTTCCTTCTTTCTAAAGTTCTCTGTGCTCCCCCTCTCATGGGTTTCTTCTTATTCCCATCTTGATTTTTAAAAATACTCAAGGTTACGTTTTGTTCATTTTAATGGCTTCAGTAGCTGGTGTGGTGCCTGGCATGCAGCAGGTACCCTGCCAACAATCTGTTGGTTGGTTGCACAAGTGAAAGATAAGAATGAAGCAAACACAGACACTATGAAAGTGGGGAATGATCTCCGTGCCTAGAACAGAATTTCATTTCAGAAACTCAATAAACAGTTGCTGAATAGGTGAACTTCTCTTTTTAAATTTTTTTTATTATTTATTTATTTATTTATTTATTTATTTATTTATTTATTTATTTATTTATTTATTTATTTTTGCTGTTTCCTCGGAGATGGAGTTTCTCTGTGCAACAGTCCTGGCTGTCCTGGAACTTGCTTTGTAGACCAGGCTGGCCTCGAACTCACTGAGCTCTGCCTGCCTCTGCCTCCCAAGTGCTGATTAAAGGTGTGTGACACCACTGCCTGGCTCGAAGAGATGAGCTTTTAAGCAGCCAGAGAGGTTAAAGAGTATGCAGAACCACAATGGTTGTTGCTGGATATTTGATCATGCACTGTGAACCCTGAGTTTGCATTCATTAAATACAATCTTAGATCAAGAGGCAGAGCCAGCAACTAGTTGACAGGAAGTAGCTGTAGAGAGTAAGGGTGGGGGGGGTCTGGGAAAACGAATAGAGAAATGGACACAAAGTAGTGAGGAGGGACTTTGAGTCTGGGGCATTTTTGGTCTGGGGCAGTGAAAGAGACGCTCTCTTGCTGGGTCTAAGGAGAAAGGTCAGCTGTTGCTTCTCAGCCCCTCTGAGTTAGCAGCTTTTCACCTTGGTATCTGACTCTGGAGTCTTTATTGGTAAAATACAATGATATGGACTTAGTTAAAAACTACACGTCTACACGTGGCTGCAGAGGCTGTTCTGGCAGGACTTCTGCGTCCCACTGGACCTCACCCTGAGCAGCTGGGCAGTGATTGTGAAGCCTCAGCCAGTAGCTGAAACAGCAGTAGATCCAGGTGCAGCTGCTGTGCTGACAATAAAACAATTGGTAGTCAATACCAATTGCAGACATGCTTTTAATTAGAAATGCCCCTATGCCAAATACTAATCCTCAGCTTAAGATTTAATCTAGTTTCACCTCCATTGAATGCAACATCACTTTACTTTGTTTCTCCAAATGTGTATATTGGAGTGATAGGGAGTAGCAGTTGTGTGTAAAAACACTTCTGGTTGAAAAATAACACATGAGGTAAAATATTAGTAACTATTTTCTCCCAGGTACAATAAATAATGCATATAACAGCAGCCTTCTGTATTCAATGTATAGCACTTGGGTTCATCATTTGGCCCGTTGTAAGACCAATGCCTCAAGTCCAGGCTCACCAGCAATGTTCACTTCTGAGGACATCCTGGATTCCAACATGACAGAGAGAGTAGTTCTCGTCTCCTCTATAATCTTCCCTTGGACAGCCACATTAAATAAAATCAAGCAAAGCACACCCGCCACCCCTGCAGACCAATGAGCTTCATTAGAGGCCCTTTTGTGAAGAACCGACCTTTTGTTGATTATCTGTGGTAAGTCTCTCCAGCGCTCATCCAGCTGTTCCAGCTGCAGCTTCATCATGGCCACGTCATCTCTGGAAGCCGCTGTGAACAGGATTTCCTTCAGCTGCAGGAGATGGCTGTAGCATGAGGCCTGGGACACCACTTCCTTTTGCAGAGCCTGGAGAACAAAATGCAATTAGCCTCACTCTAAGAGGACTGACCCAGAGGACTGCCTGAGGCTGGCTTTACACTCTTGTGCAACAGACCAGAGAGACTTATTACTTGGCTTATCACCTTTAACAATTTTTAAAACGATATTGAGGTCTGTAGGGTTTCTCAGTGCCTGAGTATCAGTTAGGCAAATCTGGAAGCTGTGAGTTTCCCTCACAATGAGGAAACTGAGTCGACAAAGAGAATCAAGGAGACTCTATTGCAGAAGAGATCACCATACTTCTGGTATAAGTTAAGACGTCATTCCGGGCACTGGGTTTATGGCATTGCTCTGTGTTAGAGGCTTTATTAGGCAAAACTGAAGAACTTAGGGGTTATTCACTTTATCTGCATGCAATACAACCACTTCATTTTTATTTTTGATGATTGGGTAATGAACTTCTTGGGTGCTCTGAGGCCATGAAAACCGCTGGCTCTTGCTAACAAGAGAAAAATCAAAGATGACAGCAGGTGACAGCCATGAAAATGATCACAAGCGAGACGACACAGCACACAGTGAACACTCGTCAAGAGGCTTCTTCTGCTTCCCTGCGAGGATCCACACAGGATGCAAACAAAGCTGAAGAGGCAGGGAAGGATGGAGTACCCTCCCAGGATGACGAGGAAGACCCCCAGCAGGTGTTGGACTCAGCGCTGGGGAGGATGCAGGGGAGAGGCGGCCTAGGAAGCAAGACCAGGCGGTGAGCAGTGCATGCACACTTTTGTCGGGCCACAGTCGAGAGGAGACTTGGCTGATACTGCCTTGTTCAGACCCTGCAACAGAGGCCTGTGGACTCTCTTAGTCTTCTCAGTGCCCAGCACGTGTTCATTTTAATGGCTTCAGGATTTGGTATGACACCTGGCTCACAGCAGGCACCCATGAATATATATATATCTTCGTTGAACAAATGGAAGAATTAACAATGGGATAAACATAGGCATCACCAAAGTGGGAAGCAGATCTCTGCTTTTGTTTTTAGGGAAAGGGGCCATGGCTCTCCTTCTGGAACCACCTTTCCTCACTTGTAAAGAAGGTCAAACTGAGCTGTGAGCCACTTCAGCCTTCGGACAGTCCCAGCATTTCTGGAAAGTGACTTTTGGGAAGACGAGGAGCATTCATAAGTTGGAGTGGGAAAGGATGCGAGCCAGGGCATCCTTCCGAAGTGAGGGAGGGAAAATGAAGGAGGCGGGCGGCAGGTTCAGATGCTATAGATGCCTCAGATGGACTTTTAGGAAAAATAGAAAACTAGCGGGATGCTGCTTCTCTCGCTAGTTACACTAAAGGATGACATGGAAAGATGAGCTATGACTCTATCATACAATAACTCTCTTTTTAAAAGCAATTTTGCCTGCTGATTTTTCTGGCCCAGACAGCATCCTCCAAACACATTAATATCCAAAAACCAGCAATATTGTCTGCAGCTTTAATAATAAAAAATGTTTTTTTTTAAATTTAAGTTTAGAATATGGACTTCTCAATGATGTTTTAAGTCACATTGTCTTTCTGTCTTCTTGTTGGGGCTTCATTTTTTTCCCTGGCTTTCTTGAATATAACAATCACTCTTGATTTCTTTTTATACCTTATTCTTTTTTTTTTTTTTTTTTTTACAAAAACACCTTTTTTTTTTTGTTTTTTTAAATCACCTAAGTTCAAAAATGGAGCAATTATATTTGCTGCCAACCTCTCCTTAGCTATACACTTCTGACTCTCCCGAATCTCCTAGAATGCCAATTCTATCCAGGTGCTACACATTGTATTGCAGGATTTTCTAAGGCACCACGGACACAGGTCACCACACAGTTCCCCTTGTTACTGTGTCTGGGAGTCAGGAATACCATCTTTGTTTCTGTATATCTTCATGTCACATGGTGTCCTCAGGATGGTTAAGAGGCTTAGACATTTAATTAACAAATTAACTTTAAAACATAGTCACACAAGACCATTCCATTCCCGTCCTCGCTGTCCTTGAACTTGCCTGTATTAACTGTAGTTCACTCTCTACTTTGACTCTGTCTGCAGAAATGTCCTTTTCTGGTGAACTGGCTATGGCCTCACATCGCTCCAACCAGGTCAGAAACGGGGAAAGACCCTTCTCCAGCCTAGAGAAAGAGAAGAAAAAAGACACGACTTCATCCAAGACATCACACTAGAGACGAAATCTCTTTAGGTTGGTGGGTCCGACATGAACTGTGACAGATGATGCCCATTGGCTGTGTTATTCCTGCATACCAAAGGGATTAGCTTCATTCTTTTTCTTTTTCTTTTTCTTTTTCTTTTTCTTCCTTCCTTCCTTCCTTCCTTCCTTCCTTCCTTCCTTCC